CATGTGGGTTAATCATCATTTCTGAGGTTAACGTAATATAAAGTGAAAATAATTAACAGGGTAATACATAAAACGTAATCGTAAACGTACAGTAAAAGATGATAAATCCTCTATAAAGTGCATGAAATTCGATGGCGGCGGAGCTTATCCTCCTCAGTCGCCGTTGTGTGTGAAAGCTTGAACGTCAGCGAAGGAGGCAAAGGCAAAAAAGCAACGAAACATTCCCAAATGTAACAAATGACTCCTGAAAGCATTAAGACGGAATGTATTCTGACTAGAAGCCTACATGCAAGTATCTTTGACTACTTTCCTAAATAATTGCATGTGCATCACGCCATTTCCCATTACATTTAACCGAATTGAACATGATTAGTACTGAATTCCGATGATGCTATGCCTATAATAAACCGTACTTTATTTTTCATGTGATTCCTCGTTATTTTAAATAGTCTGTCTTTAACCAGTCAGAATTATTAGTAACGTTCATTATGCGAAAAGTTGGAAGATACTAAAAGAACAAAACTATAGAAATTAAAAGTGAACAGTAGTGACATTTAAAGGTTGAACCACTCATTTCAAGTCAAAGAAACAGTCATACGAGAGTAAATTATCCCTTTATGTAACAATACTTAAATCATCTTAAGACCCTACAAGATCTACGAAAATCACATGCAGCGTGCTATGGAATGGTTTGTAAAAAGTTGTTGTGGCTGTGACTGTGGAAACTAAAGGTTATTATTAACGTAGTCCAAATTTCGTACTTTGTGTCAGCTTAAAATAAAATGCCTTCTAAGGTTGTAATTGATTGCCCCATTACCCTAGGTAAATCCTTGATTTTTATAGGGTTGAACTGTTTAACTGCGAAGCAGCTTAACTTAACAACGGTACCTATTAGCGGTATGAAATCAGAGGTGGTCGGCATTTCTTCGGAAACCATGAGCAACAGGATCGACATGGCTAAAAGAGTGGTGATTCCGAGGTTCACCTTTTCGGTTCTTTCGCCGTTGGTTGTCGTCGGCGAGAAGAAGCCAAACAGAGAGATGAGGTTGATGATCGCCGTCGGTATGACCAGGTTCACAAGGGTAAACAGCGGCTTGCGTTTGATGATCAGATCGGCGTGGATCAGCGTAAATGGGTTTTGGCAGCATTTGTACATTTCCACTACGCGCTCGGCCTTGAAGCTTTCCACCGTCCATTCTGAGTTCTCGATGTACTCCTCCAGGAACACGTCTGACGTCATCGTGTCATAGTTAATGTCCGCCGAATCGTACATCCAAGAACCGAACGTCATGCGGCATTTCTGGACGTCGAACGGGTAGTAGAAGATGTTCATATTGCAGACGAACTTGTAAATCGCCGGGTACCGAAAAGTGACGAATACCTTGTTCGTTTCGTTGCTCGAATCAATCGATAGCAGATTGCTTCTATTCATCGAAAGGATGACGCTCAACCAGCGTTCTGACTTTTCTCTCTCCATAACCAGGCTAAAATGTACGAAGCGTTAGTTAGTTTAATGGTACATCGCATTCTATTCGTGAAGGTGGGTACGGCCAACATGCAGTACGGATGAACACCGGAAAACCAGGTCTGTACTGATGGCGGAATTGTTGCTTCTACAGTACGATAACTGTCCTCCTCTAGCAGAAGTGTTTTAAAGCTGAGAATACATCAGACAAATCGTTAATTGCAGACTTTACGCTTAAAGTAATCTAAATCGCAACGCAATTAATTTATCTTCCATAGAAACAGAAGATGCACATGAAATTCTGGGTTTACTGGTGAAAGCTAGTTTGGAATGTCGCCGGAAACCGTAACATATGCGTTGTTCTTTTTCTAATGATTGCAGCGGCCTTGATAAAAGATTTTAAACCGGTCATAACTCTGATATTCAAGCAACAAGTTTTTCCTTCAATGCGGTTGTGCATCCATGCACTGAAAATGCGATTATGTGAGGAATATCCGTGTGATTCTAGAGACAGTCCCTTTGAGCCGTTTCCATAGGCGGCACATCTGCATGGTGATGTCTACTGCATTCGCTGCTTTTCAGCGGTTTTTTCGTTTTTCCCAGGGTTCGGTGGCACAGCGACAAGGAGTCGATTTCGAACGTCGCAGGTGCCGGATTCAAATCTTGAAAAAAATATTTTTCTCATAATCGCCGGTTCTTAGGCAAGGATTCACCACACATTGCTTTTGGGGCAACCAGCTCAGAAACGGCTAGCGAGTCGTTGACTTGCGAACAACAGGGGTAGCCTGGTATTCTCTCTTGATCCTAGCAGTAAGGGCGAAAGGTACCTCATGCTGTTTGATGCGAACACCTCATAAGGCTGCAATTCGTCTTGATCAATCCGATAGCTGCCTTTTCAATGTGCTGTTCAGAGAAAGATGTAGCCCTAATTATTGTTGTTGTTTTAAACACCTCAACGAGATGAACAAAGCCAGGGGATAGACAAGTGCCTAGTGGCTGTGTTGGGGTTGGAATTGGGTCTAAAATCCAGCATTTTACTTCACAGCACGCAGTTAGCGCTTTCCAGCTGCCTGGAAGAAATATTATATCTCATAATTAGAAACAGTTTTGATTTCATTGCAAATGAGAATACCTTCTGTTTACTCTCGAACCTCGTCAATAATTCCACCGATGTGATGCCGTTTAAAGCAGACAGCAGCAAATCAAAGGGATCGGTTTACAATGTGGGGCACACTTGAGTGCATGTTTTTTGTCGGTGAGAATTTTCACGAACTATCGGGGCAATCGGTGGTACTGATTTATAAATAAATCAAGCAGCATCCGTCTCATTGCACCGTTTAATATCTGAACGGAAGATGATGATTAATGGAGTAGATCAAAAGACGATCGAGAGGAATTTAAATTTTGATTTATGAATATCAAGAAGTGGAGGAAATATATCATTCGGGTCATAAAGATGTCAACACGAAAAGTAGGTCATAATTGACAACGAAGACTGACTGATACCTCTTCGTTTTTAACGGGTGAGGGGGCTCACAACTGTTAAGTCTCGATACTCCAGTTCGTTTGTCTCATGTGATTTGTCACCACAAGTTTCCAGTTTCTTTTAGCTCATTATCTCGCCTTAGCTGAAGCCTTCCAGTTGGGCGCTTGCAACCGTGTGGGTACTAATCCGTCACTGCTGAAGTCCAGTTGTGTGATCTAGTCTGCCATGTTTCGACTTCAGCTGCACGCAGTCGATAACAGGACATGTTTGTTTGCAGTTTCCATTTCATTTGATCTTGCCAACGGTTATGGCTCACTGTTCAAGGTTGCCAAGGGTCTTGAACAGAATGCCCGTTTGCACTTCAAGCCAGCTGAATGGTCTTTCAGGTGACGGCTCAATGAGGCTTGGCCTGCTAGGAGGTTTCTGCGCTGAACTCGGGCACTCTTCCACACTATGAAGCGCATGAAATCAGAAAAACGACGCTTAAATCTGTATATCAAGATATTATCTTAGAAGTCGATATGAGACAATGACTCTGTTGCAATTCTCAACCAATGCGCCGTTCATATAGTTGACTATCAAAACAACTGCATAAGGTTACTCCGCCCGCCAGCGTGACGGCTTTTGGTTATCTACCATATGTCCTTGTGCTGTTTTCTTCTTTAATTCCTTGACTTCGAAATTGCTGGTATTCGTTTGGCCAATGCGCTGCAGAGATCTCCAGAACTAGATTAGGCTGGTAGTGAGCAATAAAGTATTTAGTACCGTATGTAGTCCCTGTATGCGATCTCGCGCTGAGGTTAGTGGCCTGTTCTCTGCGATGGAACATCAACAGTAGACTCATGGAAACCAACTGTGTTGATTAACGTAGCAGTAAGAACTTTTTCATTGCAAAATTACACTGGCGGGTGTAATTAAAAACCTTCGGCAAAAGTTTCGTCCTTAGAACAACCCTGTGAGTTTGAATGGCCTACTTCTCCGTTTGTTAGCCAAAAGTATCCCCTAAATAACCTGAGTCTAGCGAGATGTTGCTAAACTTTATATCAAAAGTTAGCATTTTTCATATGCTGTTAAACACGCATGAGAGGTTTTGGATTTCAGCGTTACACAGATGATCGTAATTCACTAATATTGTAATCAACTTTCACAGAAAATCGATGTCTTATTGCGAGCATCCATCGGTATGTAAATCTGAAGCCCAAAACTTGTTGTACATAACCGATAGTCCTTGATCGTCATGATCTTCAAAGGATTTACTCATATTTAAATATGACGGTTACTATCATGCATTCCTCATTACAATCTCTTTCAATTAAATTACTATCTTTACCCGTCCGTCGATATTTAAATATGGTCAGATTCAATGTCGTCTTTAGGAGAAAAGTCACTTATGGAACGTCTTGCATAGCGAATACTTGACAACCGGTGACCTGCCTAAAAACTGGGCCGTTTACCAAATGAATTGAAAGGTTTTCGAAAGGCTGACGCTGACATTACACAAAGACGTGTTACAACTAGCCTAAAGGAACACAAGACAAATTTCGAACACTGAGAACACTTTGTTATTGCGAAGCGTGCCATGGATAATTTTCATTGCATTGATGCTAAAGACATGAAGTTTTAAACAGTGAAAAAACTACTGTTGGTCTCACGTTGTGCGAATCTGAACTCATTAAAATATTTCAGCAGTCTATGTAAACGAGGAATTAAACTTTAAAGGTCTTTCACCCCGATTTCTCAACAATTCCTATCATGTAATATCACTTTATTAATTTATTTTTTCTTTTTCCTTTATTTTATTCTTTTTCAAATGTTTTCATCTTTCGTGATAATAATTTTCTTTCATATGCTTTCCTTGCGTTTATTATATTTCTTCGTTACAATGCTTTAAGCATTTACTTGTTGATCTTTGTTATACGATATCTCGTCTGTACATTATTAATTTGCGCTGAAGAATAAACACGCTTGATGCTTCTGCAGGCTTCTGTTTCTTTA